ACTAAAGAGAGAGTCAATAATCTTGCTGAACTTGAGATCAAAGTTCATTTTGTTTAGAACAGTTTTCATAAATTGATAGCTAACTCTGTCGAAGGCCTTTTGCTGGTCGAGAAAGAGTAACTAATTTTGTTTGGTTTGATCAGGTTGGTTTCTTAGAGTGGTAAGGATGTCTAAAGCTGTATCAGTAATAGATCTGCCAGTAATGAAGGCTTGTTAGCAAGGAGAAATTATACTGCTACAGACAGAATTTAGTCTGTTAGCAAAAATTTTCATAAAGATCTTAGCATCACTATTAACAAGTAAAATAGGCCTCCAGTTACTAATATTCTCTAGGTTGTTTGACCTCTTAGGAATAAGAGTAATTATATTTTTGCTCTATGAGAGAGGTATTTGTCCTGTGATTAAGATATTGTTAAAAAGCTTAAAGAGTAAAGGAAGTAAAAGGTCTTTTAGAGACTTGTAGAATTCATAGATAAGCCCATCTGGTCCAGGAGATTTGTTGTTTGGGAGGTTATCAATAGTGTTACTAATTTCCTCTTCTGTGATAGGTTTAACTAATGTAACATTCTGGTCTTGTAAGATGAGAAGAGCATTTCTAACTCTTCTGCTGCTTCAGTATCAATAGGTTCAGCTTTGTACAAAGATTTGTAGAAGTTTTTGATATATTCTAGAATTTCTAGTTGAGAGTTAGAGGTAGGATTATCAGGGTTTCTGACTTTGGTACTGCATGAAGAGGAGTGCCTAATTTTGTATTGAGAGAAAAAGTATTTAGTTGATTTTTCTTCTTCTTCAATCCATTTGGTATTTGATCTAGTTTGCCATTTCTCAGAGAGATGTTGTAGCTCTTCTTGAATTTAGTCTTTAATTTCTTCAGATGAAGTTTGTAGGTTCGTAAGCCTAGGGTCATTTGCTATCCTATTGTTCAACTTAGATAACCTATTCTGTAAGATTTGGATTTTTCTTTCTAGGAGCTGTTTAGGTTTTGCTGATCGAATTATTGACTGCATTATGCATTTGTGAAAATCCTATTTGCTAATATCATTACAGCTTTGAAGATTCTTTGTAATTTTGTTTCTAACTTTAGGGTCAAGTAGTTTCTTTGGATCCAGCCTCCAAATTGTGGCTGAGTTGGTGTAGATTGATACTGTATTGTACATTCTACAAGAAGGTAGTCTGAGTTACCAAATCGTGTTTGAGTTTTTCTTTCTAAGTGGCTGAAGTTTGCATCAATAAAGATATAGTCTAGTCGAGTTGCCATTTGTCAACTGCCCTGTGTGTTCAGATAAAAGGTAATAAATAGTTCATTCTCAAAGTTGTTCACTGAATCAGTAAATTCAGTTGTTAAGTTTTGTAACAAA